GCCTTGCCTCTGATAATGCTTGGAGTTTACATTAGTGTCTTCAGTGGCTGATCTATGCTATGGATTTAGGTTGATACTCTGGCATTTTGAAAATGTTGAATTTCTTTCTAGAAGGAAGTGGTGAAGGAAGGGAGGGAGAGAAAGAGGGAGGAAGAGGAGGGAGACGTAGAGAGAAGAGGGAGAGGGAGAGGGAGAGGGAGAGGGAGAGGGAGAGGGAGAGGGAGAGGGAGAGGGAGAGGGAGAGGGAGAGGGAGAGGGAGAGGGAGAGGGAGAGGGAGAGGGAGAGGGAGAGGGAGAGGGAAAGGGAAAGGGAGGAGTATCTGTCCTAGAGCAGCCATCTGGAAATCACTTAATCACAATAATAAAATTATATTGGGCAATTTTTCAAATGGCATTCTGAGTTGAGTATTTGGGCTAGAAGAATGGCTTCACCTTGCTTCAGGATCAAAACCACAAAGCACTTCTGAGCCGTGACAGAATCAATCTATGAACCAAGAATTGGGCAGGGGGAGTTGGAGTAGTTTTCTGTATGTTGTTTGGTGCTGGGAAGGATAGCTGTTGCATGTTTGTAAAATTTAGTTTTGTCCAGATTGAAATACAAAATAAATTAAGCCAATTTACTATGATCTCTGAATTCTAATGACAAAGTGTACCACCCATTCTTTAAAAAGTGAGAAACATAGTCCAGAAAGGCAGGTCCCTTGGCAAGTTGGGATGTCTAAACAAAGACTGGGTCCATGGCTCCAATGGAAACTTGGCATGCATGATGATGCCAGGATCTTAGGTTAGATTAGGACAGTGGCAGCCTTCTGAGCTCAGGTTCAAGTATTTGGTCTTGGTGTTAAAATATTTCATCTTAAGATGGAAGAATTTTAATTTGAGGTGGAAAAGGGATACACATATTGATAGAGCTGTAATAATTACAAATGGTCTAGTTGAAAGATACAGCTAGTTTATTAGATGGTTGATATTTATTAAGCATTAATTTGAAATAGGGCATTTTCATTTTCTGTTTTTCATTGTTCACTTCTTTATAACCAATGTCATTGTGCCATGCGTCCCTTTCTCTTAGTGATGTCTGGGTGGATCAGTACCACACCCTCGGCCAGTCACCCTGGGCAAACTGGGTCTATTTATAGTGTCAATTTTGTACTTATATTCCGATATGTCTTCTCTCTCCCTGTCATTCTTGTCTGCCATACTGCTTAAAAGTCCTCTGTAAGGACAGGGTGTCCTGTCCTTTCCCCACCATCTCTCTTAAGCTAATGCCTACTCTCTGGGTATGCTTAGAACACCAAGAAGAAAATAAAGGAGGAGGGGTCAGACATCCTTTCTTCAGTTGGTGATGATGTCATCTTCTTTGACAACACTGTTGCTCTAGTGAATTCCTGTGACTGAGACAGCTCTAAGGGGAGTGGGACCCTGCTTTCATGGACTACCTGTGGGTCTGTTCTATCCAGGGTTTCTCTGATGTCTGGTTACTCCAGTGTTTTCTCCCATCTCCCATCTCTCACCTGTACATTTTTTTCCTGATAGACTTGTTTATGTACACTGCTGACTATTTGCAGGAAGTAAAAAAAAGAACTGGAAAAAAATCCATTTGTAGCTACATCCTAGAAATAATCATAACCGTTGTCATATTTGCTTGAGCACAGATGTGTATGGACCCCAGGGGTCCCGTGAGCATCATGCAGGTCCTCTAGTGCAGTGATTCTCAACCTGTAGGTCATGACCATCAGAAAACACATATTTCTGAAAGTCTTAGGAACCCCCAACTGTAAATTTACTTTCATTGCTACTTCAAACCTGTAGTTTTTCTAGTGAGCAGGTGTCTTGCTTCCTAAGACTATTGGAAATATGTTTTCAGATGGCTGTGACCCACAGGTTGAAAACTGCTGCTTTAGTGTGAATCACTTAACTAGTATTTATTAAAAAGAAATGCATAGCATCTGCTGGACCCTGAACTGTGTGTGCTAAACTGTGTAAGTGTCTGTGGGAGAGACACTAACCCACCTCAGAACAGAGGGTCTGGCAGGAGCAGTCATGTGTCTACCGCAAGGTCAAGATGAAGATATCTAGGTACACGGAACCCTGCAGAATAAAGAAGCCCCACAGCAAAGAGGTGAAGAGAGAGAAACAGACTGTAGCTGCAGTAGCTGACCTTCTGATCGATATTGGTGATCCTGAATTAAACTTGGAGTGGAAGCTAGAGACTTTGATGAGATATCAAGACCTGAGAATAGTTCTGGTATTGTTAGTAAGCATTCCTGTCCTAAGATACTTATTAAAAAGTCAGTGTGGAATTCCCTGAACTCCACTATTAAAGATAAAAGAAAAGGTATAGAAATGAATGATAATGACAACATGCATGTTTTCCACTGTGAGACTCTGCACATGCTCTCTGGAAGTGATAAGTGTGTGATATTCTGGGCGATGCAAAGATGTGTGAAATGTCCATCTCAGATGCTGCAGGACGTGTAACAGGAACTTACCTTTGCCAACATGAGCTGCCCAGAATCTGTTTCCTGATACACTATTAATAATTATTTCTCACTTTGGGAAAGAAATCTCTTACTGTAATTCAGTCAGAATTTGAGGTTCTATCAAAGCAGTGCTTTTTGCTTAGGACCACATGTGCATTTTAATTTGAATGTTTAAGTGGTTTTAGGGCTCATAAGGACAAAGTTGACTTTATTATAGACCAGCCTTCCTTACTTCTTTGTGTTAAAAAGCATTCAGGATTAGCAAATAGCTATTTACATCAGCTTTTATTTCTACATTAGGAGAAACTTCTCAAAGAGGTCAATTAAATATTTTATCTGAAACATTCAAACTAATGGAAGAGTTACTTCTAAACCATCAAAATTCCTTTTGCCTTTATGAATTAGCAGAATAATTTAATTTTGGTATAAAATGGTGTCACTAAAAACAGCTTTTTCTTTTGAGATTAATTTTATCTCAGGGTTTGTTTTTCCTGGCTTCCATTTTATTCAGTCATAGGAAAGTCTTTCTTGTTACACAGATCCCCAGTTGTCTATCAGGGTGCTGTGTGGAGAAATCCCAATGAATTTAGGTCCTCATGAGCCACGCCTCCCCAGCTTTAGGAGTGCAGGAAGCCAAGCAAAGTTGTAGATTGTGGGGGATCTGCCATCATTGCCCTTGTGACCCAAATGCTGATTTCTTGCACATAAACAAGTCCCTTTGGCTATACAGCAAAACACAGTGATAAAGACGATTTGCCGTAGTTGGTATGGTTGGGTGCAGAGGTAAGGGAGGCAGAGAAAAGCCTAGTTTAAGTAAATCAACATTTCCCACATGCCTCAAACAGGAGTGTAAAGCTGCCTCCTGGGAGGAAGAGAGCAAACCACACTCTTGCTGAACATAGCAGTCTTGAGCAAGCTGTTCTCCTTTTTGTATTCTCCCTCGTAGTGGTTGAGGCCTGCTGTATGACATGATTTGAAGTGTCACTTCTTAGAATCTGGAAATGCACACATGTGGAATGCATGGAAGGCTCAAAGAATTTGCTTATCTTTTGGTGTTTGTTCAACAGGAGAGAGAACAGTGTTAAACCCAGTTGCAGAGAGGGAGGAGTGATGAGCAAAGAGATCAAGGCTGGGCTGGTGAAACCCACAGAAACAGCTGACCTGAACAAGGGGGAGTGCATGGACCCCAGACTGATGTCTAGGAGGCCAGCATGCGACTGATCCAGACCCCTGAACGTGGATGTCAGTGAGGAGGCCTCTGGTAGTAGATCAGTATTTATCCCTGGAGTAAGAAAGGACTTTGGGAGCCCATCCCACATGGAGGGATGCTCTCTCAGCCTGGACACATGGGGGAGGGCCAAGACCCTGCCCAGGATGACATGACAGACTTTGGGGATCCCCCATGGAGGGCCTTACCCTCTATAGGGAGCAGAAGGGGAATGGGGTGGGGAGTTGGTGCGGGGTGTGGGAGGATGGGAGGGAGAGGAAGCAGGGATTGACATGTGAAGCAGAATTGTTTCTAATTTGAACTAATAAAAGGTAAATGAAAAAAATCATTTCATATATTAGTTACTGAAACCTGAGAACATTCTTTTAGGGAGACAGGTGGTACACAGCATTCACAGTGATTTGCTTTGGATAGAGTAGAGTTGGCCTGAGGTACTGATTTCTTGGAAAGATAGGAATTCCTGCCAGGTTTCTCTATTTCACTGTAAGAATATTATTTCCTTTCTGAATGCCATGGCAGAAAATGAATGGGAAGCATTATCTAAAGTTTCCTTGTCTTCCTGTTGATTTCAGATTTTCTCTAGAATTTGTTTGTAGATGCCAATGAGTTTTCTTGTTCAAAGAGACAATCTACCCACTCATAATAAAGAAATACATTTCTGAAATATAAAGGATACAGAAAAATCTGATCAATCATACCTGTTCCCCGAAGCTGTGAGGAGTAGCTTGCATTCTTATATGGCTATGGAGCCAACGCTGATCTATGTGGTTGGTGTATTTATTGCTACACAAGTCACACCACTTAGTAAAGAGTGGGTTTGCACCAAACCCGATGCTCAGCAGTACTGGCACCACCTTGCTTAAAAATCTCTGTTCCTGGGTTTCCTAACCTGTGCATGTATGAATGTGTGTGTATGTACATACATGTCGACATATAAACATGACATCTAAGCTGGTTATAGATTTTATCTCATTAACTTGGTCATTCGTTGAAAAAAGTAAATATCCTTGTGTGGGGTGGTGAGAATTATTATCTCTGGGGAATTCCAAAAGGCTGCAGTAATATAAAAATATTAGCTATCATGGTTATTCTGAGAGAGCCCCAAGGCAGGTAGAGGGTAGGACCTGAAGTAACTCCCTACATCTCCGATGCCTATGATTCAAGCTCAGGATTGCTGCTCGGAGCAGAAAACTGCTGTGTGCACTCTCACCAACACACATTTCTGAGAATACTTTCCTGGTCCCAGCTATCCACAGCCTTTTATTAAATTCCTTTTCTGTTTGGATTAGCCCAAGACCATCTGTTGTTTGTAAACAGAAACTCCAAGTAGTAATCCCCATTTGGATGCTTCAGTAAAAGAGACTAAGAAGTGTTGTCCATCTTATTCAAGGCCATTATAAAAGCCACGGATTGTTCCGAAAGTCTTCAACTTTTGGAGAAAGGTTTGCTTATTTTATGTCTTCATGATTCAGTGGATGTATGTGCACTGCACTCGTGTGTGTGTGTGTGTGTGTGTGTGTGTGTGTGTGTGTGTGTGTGTAGTTGCCCTTGAAGACCAGAAGAGTGCATCAGAGTCCCCTGTATGATGTGGATTCTGGGAATCAAACTGAGATCCTCTGGGAGAGCAGCCCATGTTCTTAACCACTTATATCATCTCTCCTGCCACAACACATGATATTCTTACCCAACACCCAGGTACTCTATTTATGATAGTAGGTTCTTGGAAATAATTCCTTTAAAAATACTATGTTTAATTAGGCTACCTCTGACAATACCAATAATATACTAAATACATGGATACATGGGATTATTATTTTTTATTTAAAAAGAATATTGATGTTTTGTTTTCTTTTGAGTATCATAAAGCAGGACTATAGATTATTGAGATATTAGTCAGACTTTAGTTTGAAGCCTCCTTCTTGGCAAATGCTCTGTTTCAGATTATCACCATCTTAATGCCTTGGCTCCTTGTTTACCTGGAGGACTTCCTATTGTATGAGACTCAGTGCAGAAGGATTATGAGATACGTTATCTGGACAATGACAATGAAGTGATGAAGTATATCTCTTATCATTTCATTGATAAAAGATAAACTATGATATAGATAATTTACTAAGATATAATCAGCACTAGAGAACAGTATTTACACGATGAAGTTTGAATGGAGGCAAGCCACAGAAAACCTTTCAGAAAGCCTCGAAGGCTAAAATTTGAGTTGCCCAGGATCATGGCTCTGGGGCACTTCTTAAGTTTCACTTGAAGATGTGCAAGAATGAACTAGATTCGACTGGGGCCTCCAAATGGAAGAGCAGGACTCTTCTCTGTGTGTCTGAAACAATCCCATTAGTCTTACTGGATCAATCGATCAGTTTTGACAGGGAGCAACTTGGTTGCCTTGGAAATGGAATGTAAAGGCAATCTTATATGGCAGGCATGGATTCTGAAGGAAGTTTTGAATTATACTTCGTTATTATTTTTTCTCTGCCTTTGCACTGATTGCTCTGAGTCTCTAATCTTTCCCAAGTCTTCCTGGACATACCCTCTCTCCTTCGCTGCCATAATGTACTGTGCTGCTTTCAATCCACTGACAGAATTTTTTTGTCTTGTACCCATATTTTATGAATCTGTTAAAAAAACTACTATCTTTGGCTTAACCATACTCTTTTTCTGATCATGTGTTTGCGTGTGTGTGTGTGTGTGTGTGTGTGTGTGTGTGTGTGTGTTTGGTTGGGGAATGTTGGAAGGATGTAGATAAATACTTAACTTTAAATCTTCATTCTTGATGAGACCTGCTCAAGCTTGATCAGACGTCACCCAAAAATTAACAATGACTTTTTGACATCTCTTTGGAAAGATCCTATAAACTCTCATCATCAGAGGGCAAAAAAGATATTAAGTTTCTAAATTTATAATGTCTTGAAATATGCATGAAGCTACTTAGATCTTTAATATTATTCACCAAGGACATAGAGCGACATCCCAATCTGATATAACAGAGGCATCAGTTTCTCTGTCAGATGAACTCCTGAACATTTCCTAGAAGACAAGTATGATCTATGTGTAGACTTGAAAGTGAATTCTGACATTTCTCATGATGCAAAGCCAAAATTTTGTCTCCATTACAGATTTTGTCTATGATGAAGGAATTAAATAATTGAGAAAAATCTGAAAGAAATTCTCTATGTGAAAACTTTCAGACCCACCTTGACTCATTTCCTGTCTGTCTGTCTGACTTGGAAGTTCCAACATGCTCATGGGAGTCAGATGGGAGTCCACGAACTGAGAATAAAATTGAGGATGAAAGAGACAGGATTTAGCAATAAAAGACCCAAATAAACACAAGACCAAAGATCTCTGACAAATAAAAGGTAAGAAAGCACTGTGGTACACACTCAAACAGTTATTCAGAAATACAGAATTACTGGGTGTTGAACAAGTAGATGAGTGATTGAGAGCATTTTGTTCATGCTGAGTACTTAAGTTTACAGTACCCACTTGTAACTTAACTCCTGGTGTATGGGAGACAACAACCTCTTCTGGTCTCCTTGTGCATCTGCACTCACAAATAAAAGTGCATACCCCCACCCCAGACATAATTAAAAACAAAAGCTAAGAAAAGGAAAAATATAAAATTATTGAATTATCTGGTTACATATTTCATGATTTCACAATCAAAGAATATTTGAGTTAAGGACTCAAAATCATACCCCAAGAGTAATTTTTTCATTAAGTTACTTAATCATCTATTGATTCCACAAATACCTGTTGAGCATGCTTGATTTACTATGAGAAATCTGAGGATCTGTTGGGGGAAAATACAGAATTTGGTTTTTCTTTTGTTTTGTTTTTTTTTTTTTACTGATGATGAGATTAAGATCTATGTATTTCTCAACAATTAAATAGACAGTATTCTACTCTAAAATACATAGCTGGAGGCACAGCATATCCGGTAGGCCTGCAGATCTGTAGGACAGATATATTTTTGTATGCCAAGTGTAGTTGAGCAATTCAATATTAGATCAATTAGAATATAAATATTGATATTAATGGGGATAAATACATTAATCAGGCTGTGGCAAATCTTAACTAGCATTTGAAAGCCACCTCTGTATCATATTATTCTTACTAGTACTTATGTATAGATTATGTGGGCTTCCAGAGTTTATAAAGAGAGATTATTATCAGTTTCCTGAAGGAGATAATGATACTAAAGGGTTTGTTGAGTACATATACTTTGGGTTATTTCTAGCTGGAAAAGTAGATATAAATACTGTCTCAGTCTTGTTAGACTTCAGAAGGGATGTGTTCAATTTTTGATCAACACTCGCTATTCTCTTCCCTGATCGTTACCTGAATGCTTGCAATTAGATCTGACAAGGTAAACGGAGGGGCTAAAGGAGGGTCTCAAATATTGTCTACTTTAGGGACAAAGCTGAGAAAAAGTTTGATAGGAAGAAGAGGCCCCAGTGTGCATTTAACAAGCTAGAGGAATACAAAAGGGACAGAGAGGGACTGCTTGGTGATAAAAATATTGCTTTGATTGAATCTGGGCAAGGAGCCAAAGGTACTAGAGATTCTAAAACATACTGAGCTGTTTCTCTATCAAACACCCCATAAATGTATGGTAAGTTGTGCATTTGTTTCTAGTAAATGGTGAGGCTGCCTCCTAATAGAATTCTAACCAAGGCTCTGGAGTTAAGTCCTCACAATGTTCCCATGTTACTAATCAAATAAGAAATTCACCAAAGATCAACTGTATTTAAATTTTTTCTCATCAGAAATTCTGAAGGAAAGTGTCAGGCGTTGATGGGGTGGAGACATAGTTCAGTGGTTAAGAACACACACTTCAGTCCCCAGCACCCATATCAGGCAGTCACACCTTTCTGTGACTCCATCTTTGGGGGAATCTGATGCCCTCCTCCGGTCCCCATGGATGCCAACACAAAGGTGCATATGTTCATATACATTAATCAAATAAATCTTCAAAAACTATTCTACAGAAACAACTGTAAAATATTCTAGTGTATAACTGGGCTTGTACTTGGCTGAGCTTGGCAAACAATTTGGAGATAATAAAGTTAATAACCCTCTGTATTCTTGGGCCATTGTATTCAATACTTGGTCAGTGTTTGAGGTTACTTCCTTAAATTCTTTTCTTTCTTTCTCTCTTTCTTTCTTTCTTTCTTTCTTTCTTTCTTTCTTTCTTTCTTTCTTTCTTTTTCTTTCTTCCTTCCTTTCTTTCTTTTTTTTGATCATACTGTAAAACTCTGGATAAGACTCATGATTGTTTTCTTCAGGACAGATGTCTTATAGAGAACAATACAATTTTACCAGATGAAGTTGTCATAGGTTGAGGTACACTGAGAAAACTAATTTGTATGACTTATATCATGCCTGTATATAATCCTGGTTGTGTCCCTATGACAGAGAATTTGTGTGATTTAAACAAGCTCACACATAAGATATCAGGGATAAGGTCATGCAAATAAGATAAAGCTTAGTACAGAGTCACATGAATAGTCTGTGGCCTGGCGGTATCATTGCTTAGGTGACAACAAAACCTCATGAGAGTCTGTCTTAACTAGGGTTCTGCTGCTTCGAGGAAGCACCATGAGCAAAGCAACCTGGGGAATAAAGAGTTTATTTCAGCTTACACTTCTAGGTAATAGTCCATCATCGAGAGAAGTCAGGGCAGGAACTCAAACAGGACAGGAACCTGGAGGCAGGAGCTGATGCAGAGGCCATGGAGGGGTGTTGCTGACTAGCTTGTCCCCATGGCTTGCTCAGCATGCTCTCTTATAGAACCCAGGACCACCAGTCCATGTCTGGGCCCTTCCCATTCAATCACTAATTAAGAAAATGCCCTACAGGCTTGCCCACAGCCTGATCTTTTTTTAAAATGTAAATATTTAATTACTACTCATATTTACATATCCATCCCCACCATTTCCTCACCTTCCCATCCTCCCATGATCACCACCAACCCCCTCCAACCCATCCTCCAACTCTTCCCCAGGGATAGTGAGGCCCTCCATGGGGGATCTTTAGTCCATCATATCATTTGGGGGAGGGCCTAGGCCCTCTTTGCCCACAGCCTGATCTTATGGAGGCATTTTTTTTTATTAAGGTTCTCTCTCAGATAACTTTAGCTTGTGTCAAATTGACAAAACTCTCAAGCACACTGGCTGACAGTCCAGGCAGCCTGACACTTGTCATGGAGAAGGTGAGAATTGTATTACACACAGCTACAAAGTACCAGGACCTCCAAGGAGCAGAGAGACAGCCAGGCACACGTGTATACAATGTGCCCAGATCAGTTTTACCCCCCTCCCCAGCTCTCTCTGCCTTCCCTCCATCCCTGTTCACCCACTTCTTCTTCCCCCAAAATTCCCTCCCTCCCTCCAACTTTTCGTTTTCCTTTTATTTCAGGTGAACACTCATTCGTCATCGCTCTGTGTCTTATCCAAAAGACTATTACAAAGTCTTTTACACACCATTTCCTCCCCCTCCTCTGGTTCTCACAGCCCTTCTACCCCATCTTTTGCAGTGTTGTCTGGGCTACCTCAGTCTTAAAATTGGTTTTTATCTACAGAAATATTTGTTTTCCCATGGCACAGATGGTAATGCTCAAGAAAGTATTGAAAATAAAAGTTTGTGTCAGCCGATGTTTGTAGTGCGTTGTTTTACCATTTTGGCTCTTCTGTCTTTTTGAGGGACCCCTCAGGCCAGCTTCTAGAAAATCACACACAGAGGCTAATTCTTTGTTATGAATGCAGCAAGAAAAAAGTCCTAGGAGAGGAGATTTTTTTGGGGGGGTGTGGGGAGAGTGGAAGGGGAATGATTAAGAACAAAAAATGATGTAAATGCTGTATAAAAAGTCACAGAGAAACCTTGTACTAGGTATCCTAACTTTAAAACTATGGCTCTAAATACCAAATACATTTGAACGTCAACACATGACTTTTCTTGGGTACAATCTAGCCAATAGCTGTAGACTAGAAAAAGTATAATATGATAAGCAGTCTGAAGAGTTAGGAGTTATTATATACAAAGAACTTTATTAGATATGAGAGTTTGGGAATTCATATATAAGTTTTGATTATCTTCCTTCTAACAGCTCAAAGCTGAACACAATTTCTCAGCACTCAGTATAATACAATAATACAAATACTCAGGTAGCAGTGTAATAATGAACAAAATACATGGTAAATTACAGAGTAGAAATAGAGATTCAATAGGAAAGGGAAGACCTCACTAAACAATAGGTAAAATAACATCTGGAATGAACTGAACCAGATAAATTATCACTTGTTTCAGCTTCACCATGAGAGCATTGTGAAAACCATTTATAAAGTAGGAAAAAAATAATGGCAATGAGAAATAATCAGAACCAAAAGATGAGTAAAGAAAGATATCTGAGATGAATTGCACAAGAGGGCATCTAAAAGTGAAATAGCAGAATAGTAGCCTACCCTGGATTGGTCAGAAAAGAAGAGAATGAAATAGTGCTTTCATTTCATTTCATTCTTCTCAAAGAATGAAGTTCTTTGAGAATTAATTCAGAAGCAAATGACAGAAACAAGGGGATGGATGAACAAATTTTTATTGTCGAATATAAAAAACAGAGAACAATCTTCAAAGCCATAACCAATTAAACCTCTTTGCATGTGCTAATTGAAAGGTGCAAGGGCAATGGGTACAGACCCTCACTGTGACATACTTAGAGTCCAAAAAAGAAAACAATATGAAAATCAAATGAGTAACTCCTTCCAATTTGCCTGCAGGGAAGAAGGCCATGACTCAAGCATCCTATGTGATGCTAAATGACAAGGATCTGCATCATGTTTGGGAAGTCTTAAGGTGATCCGGTAATGTCACCAGCCAATTTGTCCTTTGATTATAAACTGATGTAAAAGCATCCTTGTTTATCAAACTAGTACCTTAAATGCTACCTCTGTGCTATCATCATTTAAAAGTTACTCAATGACACAAATCAAAAGTGAAGGGAAATCAGAAATAGAGAGTTAGGGTGAAATGACAAAGAAAAAAAATGTGGATGAACTGTGCTAGCATGATTCACCCAAAGGATGGGACTATAAAAATGGGACACAGCCAAAATCACTGATGCAAAAAAATGGAAATGAAAGCATTTAACTACATAATGCTGAAATCTCATGGTAGTATTTGTTATATAAAACCCCAGCTTATATCTGGGAAAGATTTGAGAAAATCACCCCCACCCAAAACTTAAATGTTAGCACTAGTAGAACGAGAATGCACATCTTCCAAAATATTGCAGATTATATAACTACAAGGAAATGTTTGAAAATCCATTTATTGAGGTAAACAAAAGAAACAACATGAATTT